CAAGGTGTTCATGCGGCTCTGATACCAAACATCAAAGGGTATTATTGACTTGTTAGACACTTGTTACACTCACATATTCTCTATCTTTACTAATCTCCTAGCTAATTAACCTCCTTAACCACTCTTAAACACCACTTAAAACACATACATTTGTGGAACTTGATCTTTTCAAAATGAGATTGATCACTGCAACTTCTGATGATCTGCAATAATGCTGATAATTAAACCTCGAAGCCTACTTCGTAGATTGCATCTATAGGTTTTTATTACAATGGAAACAATAAGTTGAATAGAATAATTTCTGAGATGGATCTCACGACTTCTCTGGAAATTTTTAAGAGGAAAAGTATATTAATTTTTATATGGATATAATGATCGCCCGGTTGTTTAATGTTCGTCTTTGATAAAGGTGGGCTGAATGGAATGGAAAATATCGTGATGATATACGGAGATTTATCAAGGTAATTGTAAGGGAAGGAACCTGGCTATTTTGTTTTAGTTGGTTAAGCAGTATTATTTGCAATAGTAGCTTGCCATCTCATCCATCAGGTTGCTCAAATGGATATTGTTATTTCTTTTGGACCTGTTGAGAGGAGCAAAATACACTACTTGTATCTTTTATTCCTGATTTGTCGTCTTTTTACCCAAATATAATCTAGGGTGACTCTGGTATGAAGGGGAGCTTTGCAACTCGTGTTGCTGGATCTTCTGATCTTTACAGAGTGAGCATCACTATTTAGTGCATTTTATGCATGATATTTCTATTGGTTTAATCCTTGCTTCTTCTTTTTCTTGAACTCGTGTGGACTTTTATGATATTGATCCGTTGTGCTAGAATACTAGAGAGAGTTCACAATACTCTCAATTTACAATATATACCACAAATGTATGATTTTTAACGGAAAGAAGAATTTAATGAAAAATAAGCCAATTCATTCAATGGATGACAGCGGTCGTAAACCAGAAACCACAAAAAATCCACTACCATAAATGTTTGATAATCTATACAAGGATAGCTTTTTCTGGAACTTATTATGTGGTATCATCACAACAAGGCTCTTTCCTAATTGCCGAAACCAGATAATTTTTCCTGCAAAACTAATTTGGCCAAAGTTAATGCTTATAATTAGTTGTTTTGGTGAATTCTATTTGCTATTAGTGATCATAATTCCCTCAAAAATCACCTAGGTCCAGCATCTGAAAGCTTGTAGTTGATTTTGAGAAAATTGTTATTACTTAGATGTAGGCATTCACCCAATTTATTAGTTCAGTTGTCAATGCAGTTGTCATCTTTGTTCTGGTTCATGGCAAATATGATGTAAATATGTTCTTATTTTATTTTCTGACTCTTTTCCTCATTACTTTCAAATACTCTTAAGTTTCTTTTTATTGAAGTGGTAGACAATATCAACTTTTACCCCCTGCATTTCATGTATTGAATTCGTGAATTTAAACTTTGTAACAGCTGATGTTCACTTTCCAATTTTCTCGCAGTTCCTTTTTGAGAAAACTAGACAACTAGTTATATGGTAACAGTTTGGTTTGTTTTCATTCATTTATTTTACAGGTGAACAAACGCAAGCCTTATCATAGTATTAACTTTGTTATTGCTCATGATGGGTTCACCTTGCATGATCTTGTTTCATACAATTTCAAGGTACTTAATTCTGTTGTCGAGTTTGTCACTCGTCACTGGAACTTAATATCTCCTTGACTTGATTGTTGGTTTTATAGCACAATGAAGCCAATGGGGAAGGTGGAAATGATGGGAGCAATGATAATTTTAGCTGGAATTGTGGTTTTGAAGGTAGGGTCCAAATTTTAATGCTTTATCTGTTCTGAGTAATCTTATTCTTTGATTAGCAATACCCATTGCACTTTTAGACCCTCATGTTTTTTTCCAAACCGCTTATCAATGTGTAAATATATTCGATGCTGTAGGATCTGAATATCAGGGGAAAGTGCACAGTTATTGCTTAAGACAGAAATTCACTCTCCTCGTACCATGTACTCACAAGTTTCATATGTCAGCATCGCTAAACATTGTCTGATAATGTTATTCATACTACTTGAATCATCAATTGCCTAACAAAAAATTCATACAAAAGTGATTTGATATGATAACCCTGTCCCAAAAAATTCTATAAAAATGAACCTTTGCATATAGTTTGAGTTTTTCATTGCAGCATTGATGACATTTAGAAAGCAACTATGTTAGAGCCATTGCTAGACACTGCTGAGCGCATTTGTTGTTAGTCCAAGTAATACATACTTTTTCCTCCGTGGTTGGGGAAATATTTAAGAAGGAGCTAAGAGATGAATCTGAAAAGTTGGCTACATGCGTGTCCCTCCTTTTTTTGGAGGACTGGCTGCTTGGCAATATGGACCTTGTAACCTGAACCTTTTATCAAAGAATTCAGGATGTTGACAACTTGCATATAGTTTCTAGGTGACTTTTTCCAAGGGTTCGCAATGTTTTCAGTCAAATAATTGAGTCAGTTTTGAACTCAACTATTTGAATTATCTGTATGTCTATATATATGACAGGGGAAACTGACAATGCTACTATAAAGGCTTTACGATCACGGCAAATGAAAAACTTCCATTTGGCGTTAATGATATCCCAGGTACATATTTGAAAAGCACTATTACGTGCTTTCAATATTTTGTCAGACCGTGAATTTGTTTGGTCTTCTACTGAACTTCTACTAAATTTAATTTCTCCAGTTGACTACTCTTTTTTTCTTTTAAAAAAGCAGTGTATATTTAGTTTACTTTGTTCTACTATATGGCATTTTATTTTCTTTTTTATTAGAAAAGAATATCGTAGCTGACTCACCTAATGGGATAATACTTTGTTGTTGTTGTGTTATAAAAGAATATAGAAGATGCTGCTTCATGATATCATTTGTTTGCATTCTGCTGCTGGTTCAACTAGTTCAGTGACTTCAGTATTGTGATAAATGACCAGGGCACACCAATGATGCTAATGGGAGATGAGTACGGCCATACTCGATATGGAAATAACAATAGCTATGGGCATGATACGGCCATTAACCATTTCCTTTGGGGTCAGGTAAGGTTATAACAAGTATACTTTCGTTTTCACAGCTTTGCCGAGATATTTCTTAATGGCATGATCTGTGTGCTTATTAGTTGAAAGCACGGAAGAGTGATCACTTCAGGTTTTTCTCAAACATTATAAAATTCCGGCATGGGCATAATGTATTCAGTCATGACAATTTTCTTGGCAAGGTAATCTCTTGCTTTGCATTTTAGTAAAGTAACCACAAATGTTGATGCAAATACTTGGTGCCAGTTGTTCTTATTGAGCAATCATTATTTATGCAGAATGATATAACATGGCATGAAGACAATTGGGACAATCCTGACAGCAGATTTCTTGCATTTACGTAAGAATCTTATTATATATGTATAGTGGGAATTGAAATTGAAATATCATATCGCATTTTCTAAAGGTTTCTGTGGGCATAATTTGCACTATTTGAGCATAGAGATGTGTTTATAACATAACTTGTTGTGACAGCATAATAGCTTTCTGTCCATAAACCCATCAGGATTTAATGGAACTCTTGAGCCATATAATTAAGATTTCATTCTTGAACAACATTCTATCAGCAGACGATGCTTAGGTTGGTGCCAGGGATCGTATAAATTATTTCTACAGTCAGTAAAACCAATATGTTTTCAAGATTATAATTGTTCAATTCGCTATAATTTTGTAGACTTCAGTGTTTCTGTCCCACTCTCATATGTGCAATCTTTTTCAAATGGTTCTAGATTTCACTACGAAATTTTCATGAGAAAACTAGAGTTGTACTATTGGTGGATCTCAAGATCCTAATAACAACTAACCGAGGTGTTTGATTGGCCTTATCACTGAAAAAATCAACATTTTTCTTCAATGAGTTTACCTCTGACTTTGTGATTTCATAGTCAGGAGCACTTACAATGACTTACCTGCGATGCAGGCTTCATGACAAAGGTGGCAGAGACATGTATCTGGCATTTAATGCTCATGACTTTTTGGTTAAAGTCATGTTGCCTCCTGCCCCAACAAAGAGGAGCTGGTTTCGAGTGGTTAGTTCTTTTTGGCATGAATCCAAATTTAACTTCATTTCACCTAACGCCCAGAAGCACTACCCCAGTTATTAAAATTATCATCCCCTGGGCACTGGCTGCCCTTTGAGGTTTGGCAAGATGACTGAAAAAAGTGCAATGCGAGATTGCAATCAATTCAATGAGGACTGATGGAACAGGATGAATAGAGAGAATAAGAGGGGAGCAGAACCCAAAGATTGTGTTAAGGCAGTCTGATGAAACCCAGAAATCAAACCTTTTATGTAACTTATAATAGTTTAATTTGGTTTAGCCTTTTCAAAGAAAGTGAACAAGCATATATTCTAAGTCAACTTTTGGTTTGGTTTTAAACATGAAAGGTGACCAAGTTGAACCAAGGAACGTCTTTAGGAATGCGCGTGCGCGCTGCATTTTTTCACCCCGTAAAGTGATTAAAAATCCATGGCGATCATTGTAGTTTGGAAAAGAATACAGCACTGCTTGTTGTGCACCGCCATCATTCAAGTCCTGAACAATGATCATTAGTGCCATTTGTGAGAAAATTTACTTTCCGGTTTTCTGTGGTTTTAATTAGAATTCGGCCTTGCTCCATGCAGGTGGACACTAGTCTCGAATCTCCGGATGACTTTATCCTCGATGGTGTCCCTGGCTTAGGAAGCACCTACAATGTAGCTCCATACTCCTCCATTCTTCTGGAAGCTAAGTCTTGATTGCTCAATTTTTTCAACCGCGTGAATACCGGAAAGCTGCTTTAAGTTAGTTATTCCCGCACTTCAACGAAGTTTGAGCTTGACTTAGTAACGTCTGAAGTGTAGCTTGACACTTGTAGATATATACCAAGCAGAAGAAAACCTATATGTGTGCAAAATGAATGAGCATCGCACTTTTGAAGGGGATTAATGTCGGATTATTTCAAGAGTCCAACAGGACTGGATAACTTGGACGTAGTTGATGCAGAAATCGAGGAGTCTGTGAGCATGTCATGGCGTTTATTTTGGATTTGTGTGTTCTCTAAGTTCAACATATGATGTACCAGTTCATTAATCAGAAGAACAGTGTGTATATGTGGATTTATGGGTTTTTTAGAATATCACGGAAAATAACTCATTTGAACTTTCTATTGTATGATTGACGACTAGAGGGTCGCAACAAATTGATAATTTACAATTAAACTTGCGATTCACGACTCAGCGTGTTGGAAATTTGAAGACAAACGAAAAGGGATCCAACGTGTCTTCCCAAAATAAGAATGCAGAATTTTGGGAGGCGGGATTTAAGCACCTGAAAATTTGCGTTCTCTTGTTTAGTAACTTTTTTTGTTTTCTTTTTCCCACACCACTTATATTTGAATAGAAAAAGTTTAAGTGAGTTGGATCTCGAAAATTTACTAGAATTAAGGTATGCCTCTAGATTTGGAGAGCTCCTATAGAGATACTTATAAATTGCTCACCAGTAAGGTTTTCACATCAGCAACGAGATTTGAATTTATGACTTTATAGGTTATGAATTGACTTCTTACTAATTAGACTAACTCTTATTGATTCACACCACTTATACCACCTTTAAAGAAATTCGTATTTAAATCAGGGCTGTTGCATCCCAAAAAAAAAAAACTCGGTTAATACAAAGTGATATAGTCTTGAAAGAACCCATAACCGCATGGTGGATCTGAGAAACGGTCTTAAGTTCATTAAGCCGAAACCTACTTTCCACTCCTTTTGAGCTCTTTGCACTGATTTCTTCGTTGTCATTCTTTGTAACAGCAGCAACCCCTAAACTTGAAAAATTCGCCTCCCTTTTATACCGTGTGATAAGACAGAAGAGAGAAATATTTGGGTTGGATGAAAAGTAAATGAATTGTCCCTCAGTCTTCAAGTCTTCATTCAGTGCTTATCGTTGTGATGACCACCATGTGCTCATCACTATAATGCAATTTAAACTATCTAAAATTTAATATAGATGGTTCAGATTTAAAATTTTTAATATACAATTTTTTCAATGATAAATTTATTTTTCAAAGATGATATTATATTTATTTTAAATTTTGTATCTATTAAAACAAAAAGTTAATTAAAATGTATAAAAGATTTAAATTCAACCTAAACAATCTAAAATCAATCTGGATGGCCCAAATTGTGATGAGCACTTCATGGTCATCACTGTGACAAGCATGAAATGTGCTCCTTAGTCTTTACGTCATTAGGTATGGTTGAAAAATTTAACCAAAAAAAATTGTTAATTTCACGCCATAGTGTGAACTAAACAAGGAGTTAACTTCCTCAGTTTTTTAGTTAGTTTCATAAAAAAATGCACGTAGATAAAACTGCTAAACTGTTTTATCATTTTTTATCTGATCAAAGGATTCATGCTAATTGTTATTGTTCATCCAATCAAGTTACTTTCTGTCCCATGCCTTCCATTCAGTCTGCACAAATAAACAATGCCGGAACCATAAACCAAAGAATTAATGATGGGATTAAGTAAGACTAAAAATTAAATTTTTCTCTTTGGTGCTGCTGTTTTAGATGAGTAAATTACCATGTTGATTATTGAAACTAATAGCGAATGAGTATATGGATAATAAATGTACTGCATGTTGGGTGTATATATTGGCAAAGAAGAACACGGTTACCAGTATGCAGGAACTTCTGCGTGTTTGTTGGAAGCAAATATAGTAAAGCAGGGAAACCAAATGTCCTGGCCACGCAATTGTTCTACAACGGGAAAGTCCCGAACTTGACGGAACTACAAAATTGACCGAAAAGAGTTCATAACAAACTGTGGGAATTTCTATGTCCGCTGATAGGATCCGGTCATAGCGCTTGACTTGACTGGTTAGGACCCGCCTAGAAAATGTTCCCTGGCGTATTGACGCCACCTTCCTGGTTCCTATATATACCGTGCCAATATCACGCCCCCCTCCTCACTCTCTCATCCCAACTCCTTTTTTTTTTTTTTCCCCCTCCCCTCATTAATTTAATTCCTACTCTTAATGGCTTGCATGGCTCTCTCCTCCGTCCTCCTCTTCACCTCCCTACTCGCACTATCCCCTCTTGCTGCCTCCCAGCAATCTCCCTCTTCCTCCCCGGCCTCTTCACCCTCGCCCTCACCTCCACCCCTGCTTCGCCGCCGAAATCCTCTCCTGCGCCGGCCTCTCCACCTCCTCCCCAGGCCTCTCGCCCTCCTCCCAAGGCTTCTCCCACCCCCACTCCCCCTCCCCCTTCCCCTCCCTCTCCCCCTCCATCGCCTCCTCCTCCTTCCCCCTCTTATTCCGCTCCTCCTCCTCGCAAGATGGCGTCTCCAGCACCCCCTCGGACTACCTCACCTGCCTCTTCCCCATCCTCCACCACTCCTCCATCTCCAGCCGCCGATGGGCCCACAGCCGTTGTTGCGCCGTCGGATGCTCCCGCTGCTGGGACTCCTGCCTCCGGCGCCGTCGTCAACAGAATTTCGGCCGGCGGATCAGTAGCCGCTGCTGCTTTGGCTGTGGCATTGCTCGTTTAGATCGGATCGGAGCATGGTTAGGCTTTGGATTAATAAGTAGCGTGAGCACATTGAGCCCGAGTGTTAGTGATACCCTTCTTCGAAACTTGATCCGGTCATAGGTGGACGAAAGATTAGACATTGTAGGAAAGTTTTTGGCACCCCGAAGAATTATCATTTTTTTCTCATTTCATTGTTTCTGTTGAATAAAATGACGATTCTTTACTCTTATTTCTTTTATCTCGATTCGATATTATTATTGATAATTTATTATTAAAAAACAAAATAAAAACACAAACTTAATCAAGTGATCATACTGCCTCCGGTCCTAATTATAAGAGTTAGTTAACTAATTTGAGGATATTAAAGAGAAAAGTTAAGTTAGCTATTTGTAACAAATAGATGTTATTTTTCCTAAAATATCTTAGATATTATCTTTCCTAAAATATCCTTACTAATCAAGTATATTGACTAGAATTATCATTATTAGAAAGATTAATTTAGAAAAAAATACATAAATATGAGAGACAAATTAAATTGATATCTTGTATTTAAGATCAAAATAAAAATTAAACAATGTCTTGTATTAAAAACCGGAGGTAGTATTAAAAATAGTTGCTTCAAAAAATAATTACTTTTACGACAACAATCTGTGACTTGAAAAATGATTATTAAAGTGAAAACGGAAACGGTTTTCCTTGCTTTACATTTGCAAAAGTGCGTGGAAGGGGATTGTCCAAATTTTTTATTTTTCGGTAACAGATTTTTAAGTATAAAAAATCTACCAAACTCAAAACAAGTACTAAAAATATACTTCCAAAGTCACGCACATATTTCCCACCAAGAGAAGAGGCATGTGTGTGCCACCTGAGGCTAATTTAAGTACCAAGAATACGGTAAAATGGAAGTGAAGATCAAGAGTTATATAAAAGACAAGGCGGCAGGTATGTAATTTTCTCCCCCCTTATATTTCTTTTCTTTTCTTTCTTTTATATAAATAAAGAACACGTATATTTTTTTTTTTGGTACATAAAATTTTTGGAAAGGGATTGGGTTCACCCACGATTCAAAGGCAGGACAAAATCTCCCTTCCTCCTAGGTCATACTAATGTTAGGCAGGACGAGCCATCAATTACTCTCAGACGTTTATCTAGGCACCTAGGAGCTAGGATGCTTCCCCAAGTATCGTGACTGGAACCACAACAAAGTGGTACTCCCTAAGAATCAAACACATACCAACTTGGTTATATGTCTCACCCCCTTTACCAGCTGAATTCACTGATGGTGGGTAAGAACATGTATGTTTCTTTCATACGGCTGGCCTCTTCCGTACTTTAACTATTAAAATGAAAAGATTTTTGTACCAAAAACATGAAAAGATTTAGTGCTCAGGCCCTAAGCATAATTGGGCCTAAATTTGGGATCTGTTCTTCAATTGTTGCTACTGCGATTCAACTCGAACGGGCTTATAGACTGAAATTAGTTATTGCAGAAAAGGATATGGCCCATAAAAGTAAAAATGCAGATTACGTGTTCCCATTCCCATGCCCCAAAACACCTCATAAAAGGGTGAAAAAACAAATTGCCGTGCAAGTCATTTTTTTTTTCTTTTTGGGGGGGGGGGGGGAAGCAGCTTGTTGTATCTTCAATCACCTTCTTCAAATACACTGACTCAAACTTTGCTATGTCTGTAATTTTCTCACTTCTTGTTGTATCTTTGTATCTTTTTTTGTTTTTTGCTGAAGCGGAAACGTTAGCCAGTTAGCGTCCGACAAGGTGAAGGATCTTGGAATAATTACTCAAGAGGACACACACAATAACAAGAGAGAGAGAAAAATAGAGAAATAATTAAAATAAATGGAACCATAGATCAGGATAAATACTACTAATAAAAAATGAAAAATAAAGTAAAATAGGCCGAGCAACCAGCAAATGGAGCAAGTTAAAAAAAGACGATGAAAGCACTGCCTCTGTCCTGGCAATACGGAGCAGGGGAATGTGTAGCCATGACTCACAGAAAGCGCAACACGCCGTATGAAACCCAAGAAACACTCAGAATAGCCACAACGGGCGAAATGCTCCCGGCCGAAGAAGACGAATATGTCGTAGAGGATGGGGTGGTGGTGGAGGAGGAAGATGGGGTGGTGGTGGTTGGGGTATCACTGACAGACGAGCCCTTCCCGGGGGAAGGCGTTGCGGAGGGAGCAGAAGCTTTTCCGGCCTTAACATCAACAGATAGCTTCATGCCACCACTACAATGTCCGGGAACAGCACATATGAAGTAGTGGGTGCCGGCGGTCTTGAGGGGAATGGTGGTGGCTCCACTGCTGTCTGTAGAAAGCGAATTCCCGGTGGTACAGGATTTGTAGTCGCTCTCTTTAACTTCGTCCACTGTGTGCCCCGCTCCATAGTTAAACACTGCGAGGTACGTTACATCCTTCAGAGTTTTAATTCTAAACATGATTATCACACGCAAGCGAAACAATGGTTAAGAGCATCTTACCAAGAGAATCACCGACTTGGAAGGTTTTGCCGCTAGCCCAGGTGCCATAATCAGCGCCGATCGCCCAACCAGAGGTGTCTCCGACGGTGTAGACTTTGGCCAGCGCCGGCAGGGCCATGTTGATCGCTACTAATACACACAGAATGCAGACGTCGGAGAGTGCCATTGTATGAGATAGAAGGTAACGGAAGAGGCTTTATCGCTTTGAGACGGTGTGGCAGATTGCTTTTGCTTATATAACTGTGGAGGGAGGGGTTGGAGTTGTTAGGGATTGGTCCACTTGGTCTTATCTTGCATGAGGATAGCTTGAGTTACACTTCACACCTAATGTGGAGAAAAAAGTGGGCCTCTTGCTCTTTTCCAAATTTTAATTATAAAATAGTGGTTGAGAGGAATTATTCTGTTGCAGTCACTTTGTCGTTGACATGATCTGCCTGCGTGTTCTCTGTTGTGATAGATTGCGAATTAAGGAAAAATCAACACAAAGGTTAACTCCAGATTAATTTCGTTGATATCTCAACTTTTCTTAGGTTGATGGGAATCAACCTTCCTTATATTCGAAATATTTGATGTTATGTTCGGATAGTTTGTATGTGCGCGTGCGCGCTTGTCCTATTCGCATAAACTGCAAAAGGAAGATGGAACTTTAGAAAATGAGCGTTTTCTTAGAGTCTACACATCCTCAGTCGCCAAAACTTTCTACACTCTGCGCTGTGTATAAAGAATGTATCTGCATAGTTGTGTTATCTTTAATTCTTCATACCCAAATGAAGTAGGTAAAAAGTAATCATGCTTTTAAAGGTGGGGATCCCGTGTAAAATAAAAAGGTTCGAGAACGAGGCAAACTTTGCAGGTACATTAATATGGGAAAAGCTTGAGATGGAAGCAAGAATGAACAAGTCAAAGCGAAGAATTGGAGTGATGTTTATAACGAAGGGACTTGAGAGATGAATGGGGACCCTGGGAAATCTTGATCTTAACTGCCTACCTAACACTGACTTGCAAAGTCATCTGTCCAGAGGCTCTTTGGACATGAACCCAAAAGCTTCTCTTGCTATTTCAATACGGGGAAAAAAAGAAAGTTATATTTGTTTTGGGATGTAGGGTCCACTGCATGCCAAGTGTTCGGCTATTAGGCTGGGCTCTATCAATATTGAGTTTCTTTTAAAAAAATTATAAATTTTAAAATATTTTATATTACAGTGTTTAAGGTTATTAGACAAATACAGAACGATAATTAACAACCTCATAAAAAAAGTTAACGTTAGAAAAGGACTGTTTACCATTTTTCAGTAATAATATGAAAAACACGAGTGTTGGAATTTGAGAGCTTCAGACCAGAAAAAACAAAAAGAAATTTGAGAGCTTAAGTAATGGTGAGATCATGATTTCGTGTGAACCTTTTTTTTCATCCTCGATGTCCTGAATCGAATAATTATCCTCCCTCAGACAAATTCTCTGGATTATCGAACACCAATCAGCAAAAACATTTATCAGAAATGAGTTCTGCGATAATATTTCGTGAGAATGTTCGCTAATAGTGTGGTGTCACAGCATTGTAGATTCTATGCTGAATATAATTTCCTTTCAAACTACTTGCTACAGATGTATGGTACATGAATTGATCATAAGTAACCATTGCAAGGGGAATATACTGTTCAAATACAAATGTCAAGAATATTACTATTTCGTAGAAGAATGATCAACGACATTCTTACAAGAAATACGCGTTTATGAACTCCATCAGTAATCGGAAACATTATCAGATTTTTTTTTTTAGCCCGAAGAAACAATAAGGCCTGTCAATAATACACAAGTAACATCACTTCTTATGCATTCTAGAGTCAGGAGAGTTAGTTTGTAACGGTGACAAAGGTGTTCTTGCCGTATCCATATCCTCAAAATCAATCTTTCTCTCAATTGGGCTGCTTGTCTTGGGACTAGACTTTCTCTTGTTTGACTGCAAAATCCAAAAAAGAAATTAATCAATAAATCTTACTAAAAAGAGTCATATATTCATATCAAAGGCGTAGAAAAAGAAATGAAACTGCAGTTGCAATGCAACATTGGCAACCACGCTTGCCATGGATGTATATTTGCATGATTTTCTTTAATATAAATTGTCTCACCGTGGCAGATGCACTGCTACTATGTTTCCCACCAGAACCAAGATGGTTCCTTTCCTTTAGCTTCAGTAGCCTTTTGTTCTCCTTGTTCAATATGTTATTTTCATCGGAAAGTAATTTGACCTACATGTATCATAATTGTTCAAAAGTTAATCAAAACTAAAACAATGATAAAACAGGAAATGTTCACAACATAGTCAATAAATCTTCACCTCCTCCTCAGCTCTGTCAAGGTTAATCCTCAAATGCTCCTTATCTTTCTCGAGTGACTTCACCTCAGCAACAAGGGACAAAACTTTCCGCGTTGATGGCTTTAGGCTACCACCATGTAATATAAGTTTACAAATATCAATTAACAAAGACTGGAATGATAAAAAGTTGTTAGCCCTAATACATATGCGCTGCTGTTGTTTTTGCCGTATGACATTATACGAGGGCTACTACTCACCAGTTCCACATTGTTAACAACTTCTTGCAAGCTTCATTTCCGCTGTTTGCCTCCAAGAACGTATATGCAGAAGCACCATCTTTATTTGTAACCACTGACAAAAGGGCGTCAAGTAAATTCTCTTCCACTTCTGTGCTATTAGAAGATGCACCATCCTTAAGGGCAAAAAAAAAAAAAAAAAATCTGTCAGGCAAAATCTGCAACCAGAGGAGCCGGCACTTGCAACAGTGATTACCAATTCAAGATCGTAGAATTGTAATTATAAGAAAACAATACTAGCATACTCCTGTATAGGAAGTTTACTAATAATGATAGTTGATTACTGGACGTCATCATTATGATGAACCCCTATAATTAAGGATCATTTAACCGAAGCCAAAAGTCAATAATATGATTCTGGTATAAAGGGTAAACAATGCATCATAGCTATGATAAGTGAGAATACAAAATGAATTAAATCTCAATGATGAATGCGATAAATGAAAATCAAAACTAAAATATACTATTACTATTATAAAACACTAGATGCAGCAGCTTCCACTCATATATCAATATCACTGCTTCAAGACAAATGTAAGCAACCCCCACCTCTATGCCTCAGTTAAAGGAAGAGAATGGAAAGACTGCGAGTAAATTGATTAAAATAGTGATTATATTACCATAGCTCATCATAGTTTCATGTGCTTGGCGCGTATCTAGTGTGGAGGGAGCTCCATTAAAGGGGTCAATTTAGGTGCTTTATCTCTACTTGTAGGAATGGTTAAAACTTAAAATTTATATGCATGTATAAATATGTTCTGGTAATGAATTAAAGGTCTGCAAGAAGGCATTTTCACACTCATTGTCTGGGATACTCATATGGCTGCTTTCCCTAAAAAAATATTTTTTAAAACAAAACCAAAAAAGAACGTGCTCATCCAAAATTCTAGGCATCTGGCCTCTAATATGACTTGTAGCATTAGGGAACAGAACACTGTCTAATGCTTTCTTGAATTTCGGCAAATTAAGCACATGTAGTTGAAAGGCAGACTTAGAGTGCACCCAGCTATTACAGAAAATGGTGAATTAAGTTCCAAAGCCATTTCTATCAGTTACGACTTTCCTAGAAAATTACATATTTTTCAAGTTGACAGGATGTTGATCTTAGCTAGTAAATTGAAAGGGAAGGCGTAAATTTTGATGGACATGATGGGGGAATGGTAAAGGAAATTGATGGTACCGATCGCACATTGTACTCATGCTTGTAGTACTGCAATTCTTCCAATAACTTTCCCAACTCCTCTTCCAACTGTTGTGCGCGGAACTCTGCCTCCTTTGCCCGTTCATCAGCTTCGTTTCCAAATTCCATCAACGCTTCCCTGTCGCGATCATAAAGCGAGCATTCTCTATCCCATTTATGACATTGACTCAACAGAGTCGCACACTCGGAAGCCAATTTCTGATTCTCCTCAACGAACTTCTTCAGAGCTTGGGCGTTCATTGTCGCTTCAGACTAATCGAACAGAAAATTTAAAAAGAAAAATTCTACCAATCGATTTGGGAACCAATAATCACGAAAACCAAAAAAAAAATTGATGAGGAAAATGGAAAAGCAGACCTTAACGCGGTCAATCATTTGATCTTTCTCCTTTAATTTGGAGAGTAAAGAAAGGCGCTGCTGGCGTAGGAGCCGTTGTGACTCTTCGGAGGCTCGAAGCTTCGACTCTAAAGTCCGCAACGAAACCGGAAGACCCAAGGAGTCGTCGATGGATTCTTTGAGATAAAGATCTATATCTCGAGGAAGATCCATGCGGATGTTCAAAACAGAAGCGCTTGAACAGTCTGAGGAATTTCGAGGGTTTTAACAAGTGATGAAGACACGATTACTTTCAGGGCCAGGTTCAGAGTGAAATCGAATGTGTGATTCAGATTACAAGATTGAGAATTCTAAAATTTGGAGGCAAAGCTACTTTCTGGAAATCAAAATCAATAGAGAAAGAAAGGCTTTAATTGTAAGTATGAAGACACAAGACTCGAGAGACCTGCTTGTCTCCCTCGCTCAGGGTCAGGGGGATTCAAATTGGAGGGGCTAACCGTTGGAATGGGATTTAATTTAAAATGCCGAGTAGCGGAGGCCATAATGAGCTGACATGGAAACATATCAGTTTTTATTTTTCAAGCCAAAACCCTTTTTTAATTGTTTCTCGCGTTATGTTGAGTTTTCGAATTTTCAGACCAAAAATGGTGGCGAATTTTAGGAGCAGATCCTGGGCCCAAAACGAGGGAAGGGCGGGTCAGGCCCAAAAGGCACGAGGCCTTTAATCAATAAACAAGCCCATCCTGGAATTTAATCTTTTTTAATATTTGTAAATTTAAAGCAAATCTCTCATCTTTTCACTGTTTTTTTTTTGGGTGCCATCGAATCTTTTCACTGGTTTTCACTTTTCAGCTCTTTTTTTTTTTTTGGCCAGAACACTTTTCAGCTCTTGAAAAATTGTAGAATACTGATATAATATGGTGTCTGTTATTGCTTGCAAACCAAACCGTATATTTTTAATCCAGATAACTTGCTCTTGTCGCTTTCCCCCTCACCAATCACCGCATTTGCTTGTTTAATTTACCCAAGACGGCGCTGGTCACAGTAATTTCCATAACAAGGATGAGTCAGATGCCAGATTACAGAAAAATGAACTAATAGACCCGGACCGATATAACGCTGCCATGGCTGTGAAAGTCAAATCACAAGAAAGCCGGCATCCATGACTTGTAAGCCAGTAAACATTTTCGAACTAGCGCGTTATAAATTCAAAAGCACTAATCTCGAGGTACTTACCAAACATAAGGGGAAAATAATGACGTAATTACGAAAATGCATGTGGGATAAATGTTCCCTTCTTATTTTATATTACATCCGGTTCTAATTGTAAAACTTTATTGGTAGATTATAAACAAAATGTTATAATTAGAATTGGAAGTCATGTATATATATATATATATATCCAAACTGGTTTGGTTGGCCAAAAAAATATTTTCAAATTATTCTCTCAAGTTCTTAATCGTGATGTTTGAAATTGATTCATTACAATTGACTATAGTAATATAGTTTCAGAATTTCATTCAAAATTAATTATTGCATGGTTGACCGAAATCTCAATTTCAAGTCATGGATGCGAAAATTAATTTTTGAAGTTTTTATGGTATAACTTGCCTCTTTGAATTCAAAAATTATTGTCAATATAACATTCATTACCTTGTATATGGGGAAAATAATAGAAAAAGAGAATAAAAATTACAAAATTCTAAATTGAAAATTCTCACAAAAATGACTTATTATTTATAAGTTAAATATTGTTGTCAAAACTTACTAAAGTGTTGTTGTAATGAATTTCGATATGATATTTTGTAATTTTCACGGCTTTTGTATGTCATGTTTCCTTTTATATATCAATTCTAAATTTTCATTTCTGACAAAAAAATTCTTAACGTTATTTTTTTCAATTTTTGAGCAGCAACATCTAAGATTAGAAAATACTTAAGCTTAATAAAAAAATCGATGAATCAAATTCACATTATTTTAATAAACTTACAAATCATTTAGAATATGATCAAGCTGTTTCACAAATCACATTTATAAAAATGAAATTACTTACGTAAAAAAATAATTAGTTTCAGATCCGTCTCCTGTAATATTTCACCCACAAAGGGAATGATACATTGACCACTTCTTTACTTGTGATCTTCGGCTTTTTGTTCACTGACGTCGACGGTCTTGTCTTGATGAGTGCTTGAATCGACGAACGAGTCCACCTCCTTTCCCATTTCTTCTACCTGCAATTTCATCATCTAGCTACTTGAATTAATAATATTAATAATTGACGCTTGGAATTATGCATTAAAAGGCCAGGCGGGATTGAAATGACCGAGCAATTTATTGGCTTCCATATAATGGATAAAGATATGGAGAGGGCAAGGGATCAGATGAAGCTAGCTGCGATATTGAAACTGATCGAAGAGAGTCGTTGGAAGTGAGATAAGCAAAATGTTAAAGGTCAAAAACAAAACCTTTTCCAGGACGTCTCCTGCTAGATGGGCCTCTTCGTCTATTTTTTCAGCCACTTCTTCAACGAACTCAGCAGCATCTTGGAGTTTGCCCTCAGGAAGATGCTTGGAAGCTGCTTCAGCCACCTCCTCCACCTTCTCAGCCACTTCTTCCACCACGTCTGAAACTTCTTCCGCGCGCTCTATTGTTGTTTCAACTTTATCTGCACATAACAATAGACACTGTAAACAACTATATATGTATATCCTCTTTGATACGTATTCAGATGGGCATTCTGATCTCGAGTTCTTAGTCACCTTTCAATTTCAGCAACGGTCCCCATTTCCCTTTGGTGAAGAAGGATAGAAGTATCGTCACAATTGTTCCAAGAATCCAAACTTTCCTGCCAGAGAATATCGTGCCAATCTTTATGAACTTCAGATTCAGATTAAGCGAAAGGTTGAGAAAAAACCTTACCAATGGCCAGGTGAAGGATCAGCAGGAAAGGGCGTTTCTGGGGGTACCCCGGCGTGGACTGCCACGTTCTTCCTGCATGATGAGTGGTTACATGGATATGATTTTAAGAAGCAAGCGAATCTATCTAATAATGAAGGAGACATAACGAACATGTTTCTTCTGATCCCAAGTCCAGCGTTGAAGTCTCCCATCAGTCGAGATAGCTTGTGTTTTGGAAGGGAGGAGCGCTCGTGCTTGAGCTCTGAGATGATTCTGGCATCAGCTTGTGAACCCTGACACCTGCGAGAAGTGTATGTGGCGGCACAGGTAGATTGTTGAAGGAAGATTGTCATTGCCATAAGGAAATCTGAATCTAAATCTGCAGATTTTGTAATCAAGGACGGTGTTGAGGAGGGGAGATGGTGTGGACAATCAAGGAGTATGACTTCCTATGGTTTTATGGTGGGTATTCCCGATTGATAGTCAGATACTTATAATATTAATATACTACTCTCAATACTTAATCTTCTTGACTAATTTGAGTAGATTAAAAAAAACTAGTTAAATTAATTATTTGTAATAAATAAAAGTTATCTTTCTCAAAATATATTATTAATTAGGTGTATTAGATAGAACTATCATTATTATAATAACCATCTTTAAAAAAAAAATATATATATATATATAAGGAACAAAGTGGATTAGGATCTTATATTTAAAAGCAAAATAAAAATCAAATAAACTCTTATATTAAAGACCGAAAGTAGTATTATGCATTTTCAACAAGTTCGACCAAGTCTCTGTTTACTAAATCTTATTAAAATCCTCAACTTGCTCTAAAGTTTATTTCCTTCACGCTATCTTGCGCTTCTTTTTTCAGAGGAGTTCCTCAAGTTGAAAACTCCACTGTTATTGTCAATTTATATGTCTCAAAACTTCTTATCAATTTTTTTAAAGACCTCATTTTAAAGAACAACAGCAGAAGTTGGATAAATTAATTATACCAATTCGTAAGAAATCACGCGAATTATTTTTCCCAGCACGTTTCTCGATTATCACGGTGTATTATATGTCTAATTGCTTTTTTTTTTTTTAATATGCCAAGTATATCTAATTCCTTTATGAGGGGGAAATTGGAAGGCACTTTTTTTTTCCATAGCGAACAAAATTTGTGTGAATGGCATTCGAATCTTATCGAGCAGAGTAAAAGAAGTATGCTGAAAAATGGGAAATGAGATACAAACAAGGGAATATGCAGACCTCATGAATTACGAGTCGACTTTTCACCAATTCAACTAACTCTTATTGGTTACTATTTAATAATAATTGACTGATTAACTTTTTTTGGGGTACAAATTAATTAATTATCTAACAATAGGCTGTTTTACTTTCGTAGAAATTTTGGGCCTCGTTTGGATTTGGTAACAAGGAAGCCCATACGGCCTAATTTAACGGGGCACGGTGACTTTGCTTCATAGGACGTTGTAGCCTTATGAGTTTTTTTTTTTTTTTGAGCTGAATGTAGCCTTATGAGTTTATTAATCATTATCCTCCCCAGATATTATAACATTAGGGAATATACAGACCAAACGAAATAAAATACATTGACCTTCCTTATATTTGGTAAGTAATAATACATAAATTATAAATAGATACGAGCAGCTTCCGATCCCCAACATGATTCCAATTTCCTTGGCAAAATAGGCATATTATACGTTCGCGCACACTCAACGGGAGAGGATGTCATTGTGTGTATACATACAGACACATATATGAAAAAATGTCATAAAATATCCATTAAATTTTAAAATAATAAATAAGTAATACTGACTATTCTTGTGAAAGTTTTGACATACTAAAATTGCTTATTTAATATTTAAAAATCAACGGATATTTTTTTGGGAAATTTTCGTTCAAGGACCACACTACAGAATTAATTTCAAATAACCCCCAAAACTTTCTGAAACTTCACTGCAGGATCAAGGGGGCAAACTGATATTAATTTCACAAAGAAAATGATGTCATTGCCCCTCATAATACTTATTGTAGGGTGACATGTAAATAGACTAATTTCAGTTGTAAATAACGGTATGTATGTTGCAAATTGACTAGTCCCACTTGTAAATGAGCTCTCTCACACTCATTCACTCACAGACACCTTTTTCAGGTGAAAGAGGTGATTGTAAATGGACTAATTCTAATTGTAAATAAATATATGTATGTTGCAAATGGGCGCTCCCACACTTATTCACTCACGGAGACCTTTTTCAGGTGAAGGAAGTGACATGTAAATGGACTAATTCTAGTTGTAAATAAATATATGTATGTTGCAAATTGTCTAGTTCCACTTACAAATGGACTGTCCCACACTTGTTTACTTAGACACATTCTTCAGGTGAAGAAGGTGATATGTAAATGGACTAATTTTAATTGTAAATATATCTATGCATGTTGTAAATTATCTAACCTCACTTGCAAATGGGTTCTCCCATACTTGTTCACATGAGGGGCAATAGGGTCATTTCCTTTGTGGAATTAATATCAGTTTGTCCCTTGGTCCTGCAGTGAAGTTTCAGGAAGTTTTGGGGGCTTTTTGAAATTAATTCTGTACTGCAGTCCTTAAACGAAATTTTCCCTATTTTTTTTTATATTTCCTGCATACCAGTAGACTTTTTGGAATTGGCGTGGCAATTATAAACTCGAATTCTAGACCTATAGGCTCTAGCGTAGTTCTCCGGAACACGTTAAAATGAATAAATGCCATTTTCTTTAATACTGATGACGGCGTCCAAATATTACTTTTCGCTGTTTCGCATACCAGCAAAAATTACACACACACACACACATGCTTAATAAATACGTAAGAATTAGCTCACATACGAAGTGACATGTCAGGTCCCAAAAAAAAAAAACGCAGTGACATGACTGGCTTATTAGTATATATTCCATCAAGCGGTAGCCCCCCCCCCCCCAAAAAAAATCTTGAATGATATGTATAACAAGTAAAGGATATCGATAAATATTCTCTAAAAAAGGGATATCGGTAAAACTGTATTCATGGACATGCGTGGTTGATGAAAGTAGGATGCGACTATAAGTTGTAGGGATCCCATTATTAATTAGTTGATACAAAAAGGCTTCACAAATCATCGTTATAATAAAAACGATATATATATATATATTAAACCACACAGGGAATTAATTATGTATTATATTGGCCACTTCTTTACTTGTGATCTTTGGCTTCTTCGCTGACGACGGTCTTATCTTGGTTGTTTGAATCGAGGAACGAGTCCACCTCATCGCCCATGTCTTCCACCTGCAATATCATCTAATCGAATTAATAAAGTAACGATTGACACTTGGAATATTAATGATTTAACGACAAACCAGGAGGGATCAGTGCGGCTTAGCAGTTTATTGTTTGCAGTGAGTAGTGGTAGATATAGATAGAGAGTGAATAAGGGATTAGGTGAGGCTGTGTCAAAGAAAACGAAGAAATCCGGTCCTTGTTAGCAGCGAGATGGCTAAGCAAAATGTTAAGAAGTGAAAAACCTTTTCTAACAAATCTCCTGCCAGATGGGCATTTTTTTCTATTTCTTCGGCCAATTTGTCAATGAACTCAGCAGCATCTTGAAGTTTTCCCTCAGGAAGATGCTTGGCAGCCGCTTCCGCCACCTCCTCCACCTTGTCGGCCACTTCTTCCACGACGTCTGAGATTTGTTCCAGTTCCTCTATCGTTGTTTCAACTTTCTCTACACATAATAATATTATTGCGCACCCAGTGTAAACAACTATATATGCATATTCTCTTTGATACATAATCAGAACGGGTGATCTGATCCCGAGTTCTCAATTACCTTTCAGTATCAGTAACGGTCCCCATTTCCCCTTGGAAAAGGATAAAAGCATCGCCACAATTGTTCCAAGAATATGAACTTTCCTGCGAGAGACTCGAGCTATTTATGAATTCCAGATTCAGATTATAAAACGAAGAGCTGAGTAAAATCGGGAGGAGGGACTTACCAATAATGGCCACCACCAGGTGAGGGATGAGCAGGAAGAGGGGCTTCTTTGGGTGCACTGGCGTGGACGACTGCCAGGTTCTTCCTGCATGACGTGTGTCATATATCACATAAATTACAACTCAAACATAAGTTTTGAGCATGGAATAATGAGGCAAACCTAACGAACATATTTCTTCTGATCTGAAGTATGAATCCAAGGTTCAAGTCTGGCAACCGCGACAGCTTGTGGTTTGGAGCGGAGGACCGATCATATTTGAGTTGTGAGATGATTCTGGGATCAACTTGTGAAGCCTGACACCTGTGAAAAGTGTCTGTGGCGGCGCAAGCAGATTGTTGAAGGAAGATTGGCATCGCCATACAGAGATCTGAATCTAATTCTCTGGAGATTTTGTAATTATATAAATTAAGGACGACGGCGTTGAAGAGGGAAGATGTGGACGAGCCAGGAGGCCTATGGCCATGGTTTCGTGGATGGATCCTCCCAATTGGTAATCAGACGCTTATATATTAATATATTGTGCATTCTCAGCAAGTTCCCCCCAAGTCTCTATATACCAAACCTTATTAAAATTCTCAACTTGCTCTGCATTATGCTCTTATTTTAAGAGAAGATTCTTAAGTTGAAACCTATCTATAATGATCAGTTTACTAGCGATGACTTAAAAGTAGCATCTCGTTAATTTTCATAAAATCTCCTTTTAAAGCAACGACGACAACAGAAGTTGTATGAACATGGTTATACCAATTTTCAACGCATGGCGACGGCGTGAATTATTTTTTCCATGCAGCCCGGTTCTGAGTTATCATAGTCACAGTTTATTATATATTGGATCCTAGGATACAGCCAAAGCATATGATGCCTTTTGGGTGTTTAATTTAGCTTATCTGGAATATGAAGTAAATATATCTGGGCAAGAATTACAATTAGGTTCCAAGAAAAAAAATAATTACTAAAAAGTCCTATTCACAATCTAAGTTGTCTATAATAACAAGTTTTAGAGTAAAAAATGATAACTTTTAATACTTATTTTGTAATTATTTTTTTTTAGGATCTCAATATAATTTTCCTAGTATCTCAGGCATTTTTAGGCCAGCCCCAAGATTCGCAAGCAGCATAAGACCACATCTTGAAGCAGCATAATTCTCAGGATTCTTTTCTGATTTCTTGAACCAATTGGCCTGATTCTTTTGGGCTTGGTAGGCCTCCTCCACCGTTATTGTTCAGCAACAAGCCACGCAAAAGGTGGTGAAAACCAGGAGGCCCATAAGGCCGAACCCAATGTCGCGTGGTCATTTTGTTTCCCGGTTCCGTCTGGCCTTACCCATAAGACCCAACCCGGGCAATACAGAGTCCGACCCGAGCTATCGACCAACCACCCCGCCCCAGTGACTGAGGACCCCTGGTGTTATTTATTATTGGGGTGATGTAATTACCACGTGGCAGTCAAACGCTGTTTAGAGCGTCAATTAATTGAGCTGCGAGGGTATTAGGGAGTGCACCAAACTTTACGATAGAACATCTGGTCGTCTTGACAAAGACTTGGTACCCCAATTCTCTCTCTCCCCCTCCCGATTCTCCTTTCGTTAATAATAAGTAATTGGACCCTTTCGATTAAAAAAAAAAAAAAAAACGAACAAGAAAATGCTGAGAAGCAAACACCATGGAAGCACAGGAGCAGCGGACAATAAATAAAGCTTAAAATATTATGTCGTGTTTCACTTGAATAATTTGCAAGAATTTGAAAATTGTAAGGAAAATTACACCAATGAAACTGACATTTGAACTAACTTTAATTAATTGCATAATGTTAAACACACCGACCCCAAATAAACTAGAGAGGCACAAAACTTATTTCAACTCGTTATCAATACCACCAAACACATCCAACATAGTCCAAACTTTGGAAAGGGACAATGAAACATACAAAATTTTCTTTTTCTTCTCCCACGGTTGAAACAAAAACCCATCTCTTTAACTCTCTCGTCCTGTGGGTAAATTCCTTCTTAAAACGCCCATGGCGAGGATACACAGGAAACTCTTACCAGCATTATCCAGTACAAACGAAACCAATGTAAACGAAACACAAGATTGTCCTGAATTTTGCGACCCAGCTTGCCCTTACAGCTGCTATTCCTTCCCAGACTACTACTTCCCACCACCTCCGCCTCCTCCGCCTCCCTTTTCGGCCACTGATCATTCCAGCTCAGGTACTCATATCTCCTCCTATTTCATCATCCTCGCTTCCCTGTTCACGGTCATTTTTATTCTCCTGGGTTTGTACGTGATCAAAACCAAGTGTTATGCTAATTGGCGTGGCTGGAGACAAAATGGATCCCGATCAGAGGCCTCAGACCACGAGTTTCTTGATGAGAACCAAGTTGATCACCCTCTCTGGTTTATCACCACCGCTGGTCTACAGCAGTCGATTATAAATTCTATCACAGTTTGTAAGTACAAAAGGGGTGATGGGTTGATTGAAGGAACCGAGTGTTCGGTGTGTTTGAACGAATTTCGAGAAGATGAAACCTTGAGACTCTTGCCCAAGTGCAGCCATGCCTTTCACATACCCTGTATTGATACTTGGCTGCGTTCTCATACCAATTGTCCTCTCTGTCGTGCTGGGATTGTCTTGAGCAATGCCAGACCTGAGGCTTCCGTGTCAAATTTGGCTTCGAGGGACCTAAACTCGGACAATTCACGCAGGAACCAAGAGATTCAGCCTGAGAATCCGCTAAACGATGGTGAAGTAAACAACAATATGCAGGTAATTGCAAATGGGGCATCTGGAAACACAGCTGGAACAGTGGAAAGTCGAGACTTCAACGATAATTTGATCTCAAAGGAGTACGCGAATGTTGCACTCAATGGTCCAAAAGAGGATCATGAGGATCTAAATGAAGGGAAGCGAATCGAGATAAGGTCTATGTCTATGGATTCTAGACGGGCAAATTCTTCTGCTTCGGAACCCGAAGAAAGCCTTCCGGTGTTCAGAGAAATTAGGCGCCCCTCTGTTACTAAATGTCTACAGCTGAGCCCTGTTCCTATGAAGAGGTCGTTCTCTTGCAGTGGAAGGATTCTGTCTTCCAGAGATCACAGGAATCTGCATATAACTCTTCCATATTAGAATTTATCATCTATTCATGATGTGTGTGTGTGTGTGTGTTGTCGTGCTTCTTCTCTTCAAGATTTTTTTGGGGGTGGGATGCATAATTGTTTATACAGAAGACATAAGAGGAAAACTTGTGGGAATTTTATTCGAGCTCTGCTTCGGAAAGATAAAAATGTTGTGCCAATCAAGTTGGAGGCAGACTAGACAAGAATAACTCTGCTGCACCAGGTGCAGAGGCAGAAGTGCCGAAGGGTTTGATTTTTGTCCCAGAATGATGAATCAAACAGTTTTCTTTTCATCAGGAAGTGCATTGTGTGATTCTGACATCTGAATGAAGGCTTGAATTTATCCCCCCGCCCCAAAAGTTTGGGTTTTGATGGGAGGAAGACTTGTGATTATCCTCTACTTCGACCCAAAAAAAACAATTAGTTTCTTTGGCAAATAATTGAAGTTGGGAGAGAATTATATGTGAGAAATCGGTTATGAAATCCAAGCTAAAGATCATGGAATCTCCGGAGGGAGATGAAGATGAGGGAGAATCCGCGTAGTTGAAACAGGGGAAAGCTACGTAATTATATTAAAATGAAAGAAGACGATTGCTTCCAAGACTGGCATAATTATCATGTTAGTCACCAAATCTACCAATTTTAGGTGAAACTTCCATAATGGCTACTCTCCCTCTCCCCAACGCCAAGATTAGAGAATCACTCAACTCACCTATGGGCTATGGCTGCTGACCAAGACTCCCCACTTCACAATTCTCCCTAAATATACATGCACACGGTTTTTTTTCGGGTGACAATAATGAAGAAATAAAGGACTAATCAAGATTGGTTCTATGCGGAAAACATCTTCCTTCACAGTCTTCTTTCAAAATATCTTCTAAAAAAGTCGGAGGAGCATGCCAAACTGCCTTTGTTGATCCTCGCTTTTGCAATAACCCCAGTAAACTGCCTTCGGTGAACTTCGACTTGCCAGTCTCGCCCCATACTTCTTCGGATCTTCTGAGAGACTGAGTAGTATCCGTTAATACTTTCCCCTTCCACAATAATTTTTCTAAAACCCAAGTCCCAGTACAACTCCAATTCTTCAAGAACACCTCGGGCTTCTACTTCAGTTGCATCACAATCATTCAATTTGATCGTAAACTCTTTTATCCATTCCCCTCTATCTCCTCCGATAACCCCTCCACAACCCATTCCTCTCTGCTTAGCTGTTCTATCCACATTTAGTTTATACCAACCCAGTGGAGGTGGCTTCCAAGAGACCGCTATAATGTGATATGAGCTATCCTGACGGAATCCTTCATCCCATTTCCTTTGATGACTATTTATTTGCCCCTTGATCAATTCTACGTGATTTCTAGGCACTTCAAAATTCTCCACATGTATTTGTAAATCCCTCCATTTCCATATATACCAGCAGCATGTTGCAAAAGTTTCTGGCCAAAGTATCTTCTCGGTTGATCTCCTACATGCACATGTTTGACATAATGGGATTCATGCATCAGAATTTGCATTTAAAACCCTAAACCAACTCCACCTTTTCATGTTTTGTGTAGAGTGGTTTATTCACATATTCACCTAACTTCGCCTCTCAACCTTATCTTCATCTAACCACCTGTATAAAATATCATTTTCATCGTTCACTAATTCTTCCTGTCATGTAATTATCCACAAAGGTTCATTCATTTTTTCTTTTATTTCTTTCGAAGTCCATTGGTGGTTTTCTTTTCGGCAACACCTTCATGTTTTGTGTAGAGCGGTTCATTTACATATTCACCTAACTTCGCCTCTCAATGTTATCTTTCATCTAACCACCCGCGTAAGATATCATTCTCATCGTTCACCAATTCTTTCTGTCATGTAATTATCCACAAAGGTTCATTCATTTCTTCTTTTATTTCTTTCGAAGTCCATTGGTGGTTTTTTTTCGGCAACACCAACAGCAGCACCAGCAAAACCAATAAAACTGTTGTAGTAGTGGCACTATTTTTCATAAATTAAACCTTTTCTCTCTCTCTCTTTTTTTGAGATATGACGGTGAAAATAAGCCTTCTTCAATTACCACTCCTTGGGTGAATCCAATTACAAACCAGACTAATCTGGATCGCACATGTGGCCTCCAATTAAGGGTATAGTGCTGACCAAGGGGCAGGCTGTATTCCCAAGGCTCGAACTCGAGATCTCTAGTTAAGTGGCGAAGTGAGGTTGCCAACCACCGTTGGTTAAAGAGAACACTGTTTTAATTAGAGAGAAACTCATCAATGATTAATATGAAATTATGTTCCTTTTACAAGTTATGGTTCATTTACTAAACTCCATGTAGTATAAAGATCCGCCTCTAATTTAAAAGAAGATTTTGTTTTTTGCGTTGTTTTTTTTTTTCCCCATATTGTGTTATCAAGGACCCAAACCTAAATTAAAGACTTACTGGTCTATCATGACAAACTATGGGCCGAAATAGAGAAGGGTTGGCTTTCACGTGGCACAAAATTTTTTTAGTGGAATTGACAGAAAATAAACAGATACAGTGTCAGCTGTGGGGCGGCGCCAAAATGCAACTCTTTTTAAGTTTTAGCCACCAAAATTCAACTATTTCTCCGGTTTTCAATTTATTGTATTTTGTAAATTCATTTTTTAATTATTTTTTATTGTCTAATAAAACTCATACCTATTTTGATACTTATACAAACTAAATTTATTTTTATTTAATCATAATCTAAACAACTTTTTACTCAATCTAACTTTTACAAACTAATTTTTATAAAATTTAATCCAAACACAATTCAGATAACTCAATTTAATTTTTATCTAATCTAACTTTTTAAAAAATTAAATTGACAATAAGCTATTTTTTTAGTCACAAATCCAAACTAACCCAGTCAGGTGTGGGGTGTGGACAAAATTTAGTTTTAGCCACCAAAACGCAACCTATTTGTAAATGTATTTGGCCCATAAACTACTGCCTTGATCGAATCGAAACAGACTTGGCGTATACTGTTGTTAATAAAGATCGGCGTAGAACATTCTCTTCTGAAATTTTTTGAGTCATTTCAGTAGGAGGGGGAGCAAAATGAAGTGGGGGAATATCGTATTCTTTTCCTGCAGCTGATTCTGTTTTTCAAAATTCCCAATGATTTCGAATTCCCATCATTTCGCTTGCGAAACTTCTCCCAAGTTACCTACAAATCTGTACTGACCACGTTAAAGAATCTCCCTCCCAGCTTTTCCCTTTCCCTTGTCCCTTTTATGTAATATGTTTGATCCATCATTTCCCCACACAGTTCACTTCACCAGTTTTCCTTCCGGGGTTAAATCACATAACTTATCTCGCAAAAGAAAGTGTCTTTTTGCGTTTAAATCTTACGCGGAAAGTTTAATCAGCTGCGTGAAAAGCAAGAAAATAGTAGGCCTTAAAATGGATATTTAATTGAATAATGGACAGACAAAGCTCATCAGTGCTTAACTGTGTTGGAAAAGTTCTGATAAGAGAGGTCGACCCTTGGAAAGTTTGCCAAGGCAAGCTAGGCACACCTTTATAGCTCTTTCCTTTTTCCCTAAAGTGACAACAAAATCTAATGGATATTTCATGGCTTGGATGTGAAAGCTTATTAAATTGCTCATAGAAACATCACCTGTGGATGAATCCTACGCGGAACATGAGTGCCAAACGCAATCAGCTAACGCTACGTCTATATTTTAATTAAGATATATATGATCCTTATTCCAGTTCCAACCGTGATTCACTTTGTCTTTTTACGACATTCTCTGCGGCCAATATTAGAGGCTGAGAATTTTATCATTGTTGGGTTCCTTTTCTATAATAAAGTAGTTTCTTTTGTCATCAACTCATCATAAAGAAGCTCGAAGCTTTCATGAGATTATAGCCGACACGACATTTTCCCCTCCAGGTAATAAAAGTAAAAAGAGAAGGAAGAAACCAAAAGGGATTTGGATTTTTTGGTTGACAAGAGAGCTTTGAACATCCATATGGTGCAAGCCATCCTGCAGCAAGTGAACTTGTAATCTGGACGGTACGAAATTGCGGGGGAAATGATCATCACGTTGAATCTCTCAGGCATTGCTAGGTTTCTTGATGGGAAGGTCTTTGTATGTTACTTTTTTTCTGCCTGTATAGGACACACGATCAAATGAAAAGATCATGATTCTGTACCAATATTCCAAGTACACAGAACCTCCCTCCAAATCCAAACCGGAGCATCATTACGTTGAGGAATTATGAAGCGGACAGAGAGATAATCAAAAGGGTGTGGAAGAATATTCACATGTGAAAGACAACATGGAAGGTGATAGCTATGCATATGATTATATGCCGAATTCTTTTTAAGAAATGAATCGCCAAGAAAGGTGCGTGTTGCTGTCAGCTATTTTGTGATGATTCTGGTGATTATTCAAAGCCGATGTGGTGCTCAATATTCTGTCTATCTTCTCGTTTCTCTTCCTTTTAAAAGTTCAAAAGCAAACAACTTGTTACGTCTTCCAGAAGGAGCCAAGCCTAATATTGTTACCCTCATTAAAGCTACTTTTGATAGTGCTTCAGCTGCAATGATTAAGGGATCAACTGTGTTTATTTTATCCAACACATGTATAATCTATATATCATATATTATTTAAGAAATTAAACAAAACAATGTTATTCATTAGTCATAATTTGTGGCGCTTATAAAACCTAACGTGTAGCCAAGAACGACATGGAAATGGAGATATAATTACAGATCTCAATATATCAGTATTTTCCCCTAAAATAATTGATTTTTGAGTCTATTTGATGGCAAAAATTAAAGCTACTTGTGATTAATTCTCCCTGCATGCGAAGCTTCGTGGATAAAAAGGTTTAGTGAATGAGACGAGTATCATATCTTACAAATCGGGAAGCTATTTGGTGGATGTCCCGTTTAAGAATATATATCTCTTAAACACATAAATACTTTTCAAAAAGAAGAAAAAGAAGCAAACCTAGTGAATCCAGTGGCGTCTGTAAATTTAGTCACAGCTAGGTATAAATATTACGAGCTTAATTAATTTTTAATTTTAATTTGTTCATAATAACAAAGTATGTAGATTAATTACCAGCGAGGAAGGCTCCCCAAATTGGTTCACGTGTCTTCTCTCTCTCTCTCTCTCATAAGCTAATTCATGGAAGCTCGACCCAAAAAGACATAAAAACAGCTCTAAGCACTAGCCGTGGTATTTTATTAACACGAAACAAGAAATTCTTCGAGTCATGTGACGTTGTTGGCTGTACATGCCTCGAGTGAAATTGGACTAGATGGGCCACGCCTTGCACAAGCTACTCATTTTCACGCTATCCTACTTAACTTAAGATCTGCACAATTGTTTTGTTCTTATTAGAGGTTCCGTTCAGCCAAAACAAGATCGATTATAAACTCTTCCAATACAATAATAAAAACATTAATACAACTGAAAAGGATTTCCTCAAGTTTCAACAGAAAGCAGCTTCTTCTTGAATTCTGCGCATTAGTTGATTCACAGCAGCTGCAATTTCATCTACTGTGTTCAACTGACTCTCGTCCTCAACCTGTTCCAATCACGAATCCAATTAATACTAATATTGATCATAGCATACAGAAGAAACAGGAAGAGAAGAAAAGCAACCAACCTTAACGCTAACAGAGTACAGAACCATATCGTCGAGAGTTGTAGTAACGTTGAGGTGAAGAATGCAGAGTCTGAGACTCTGAAGCCCAACAACCATCTTCACAAGCTGGCCCGGCCGTTTCCTGGAGAGTATCTTGAGGTTCGCGTGGCTGTCCACCAAGCTCACTTCTATGTCGGCGGCCCCGACCTCCTGGTTTTGTCCCATCACGACGTCGTTGGCGGCCGTACAGCCGGTGCTGCCCTGAGTTGCAGGTGTTGTGTACTGTGGAAACGAGAAGAAACCGGCAAAGGGGCTGTGTTCTGCGCGGGTCCCTGTTTTGGCTTGGCCCTGCATCGACTGTAGATGTTGTTCCAGCTCCTTTACGAAGTTAATGGCGCCTCCAATTATAGAGGCTTGGTCACCCTGTTTTTGTGACACGCCACAGGAAATAAAGTAAAGAATTTGAATACGGATCAAAGAAGGAGGAAATGAAGCAAAGAGTACAAATTGTACTGACCCTTTGAACATAAGAAGAAGGCATCAAAGATCGGAGCACGGTCAAGTACTCATTCATCTGCTTGCGGCGATTACGCTCCACGGCAATGTGGGTCATCCTCTGGCTCTCGATTTCCTCCTGGTTCTTGGTTGTCTTGGTGCGACGTCGTTTGCGACGTCCTGTGGAAGCCGCAGGGGACACAGATTCTTGAGGAGACGAGTTTGAGCTATCCCATGACTCCTTCACATCTTGCAACACCGAAGAATAATCCCAATTCACATTGCCTGTCATCCCCACGAAGCCTCTCTCTTGCTCTGCTTCTAAACCATAGCCAAGTCCTGACATATAACTATAGTTGAAAGGATCTTGTGGGAATACCACAGCCTCGAGAGCCATTGTTCGCTTTGACGAAGCAGATAGGAACCTTTTTGGGTTATAAGGGGGGGAAAAGAAAGGAAGATTAATTATTATGAGATGAGAAGGAGGAGGAAGAGAACGTTGGAAAGGGAAAGGAAAGGAAGAAAGTTGATGGGGGCATAGGCACAAACGAGACCAAACAAAGAGGCCCTTTTATGCTGCCCCTAAGGCTATGAAGATTGAAGCAAGCGGGCCTTAGAGCTTTCAAAAATGATTATTAGTAAATCTACAGGTCGTCACACGTGAGCTCAGATTTTATTTCGGATTTCATTGTGGCTCACTTCCTTGACCGGTGACCCTTCTAACTCACAAGTCACAACCACACCTTCTTCTCCCATTATTCCACTTGCCCACTTGTTCCTTCCTCTGTTTCCTGTCCCTTATATATGCACTTCATTTCATCTTCTTTTGACAGCCATCTCTTCTAACTTCTACCCTAGTTTTGGGCCATTGTTGATTGCTTCATAATCAACACAGTGACGATTTAAGCTAATACTAATATTTCAAGTCAACCATTAGGTTACATAATTTCAGTCATTCGGTTTCGTTCTGCGACGTCCCATCACAGCTCAGATTCACAACAAAATTAGCCGAGAACTAATCTCATACACATGGTAGATGAAATATCTGACTTCCAAAAATGGCATCTTTAATTTTGCCCATTTCAGTGTGAATCTGAGAAAACGGTTGGCTTGCTAGGATGGGACCAAAAGCTTGAGAAATCCAGTTACACAATTCATCAGATTCCTGTTTTCGTAGAGGGAGCAGAGGCTCCACTGTGAGGACAGTTTAATTTCCATTACTAAGTGGTCCTTCTACCGAGTGCCGTGCCTCGTTTCAACGTTATACTATACACCATCAAGTTAACCTTCTAATAATTGCGTATCATATGTATTATTTAATTACGCTACAGTAATCGTATTATAATAATCCCAGGGGGGGGTCGACCGTGGTTTTATAATATTTGGTGTTAATGGGGTGTTGGACATGAAAAAGAGAAAGGTGACGAAAAGCTGGTGATTACTCCGAGTCCAACCAAAGCAAGATCGATCACAGAGTCCGTAAAATCTAGGGAAGAAGACGAAACTTCAATATATATATATATTACCAGCAAAGATAAGAATGACAACGACGACGATGCTGCTAAGTTCGAGCGTCGAGACAAGTTCAGATTTCAGAGGAATCCATATGACCATTCAGAGGACCACCCTGTGATCATCTAATTAACCATGAACTGAACGCCATGGCTTTCCCTAACTTGGTCCGCTTCCCGAGGTGTCTAGCTACGCTCTTTCGATCCCTGTCATTTGGGATTTTAATCTTTTAACTTAACTTCAACCGATGCCAGGCCCGGCTCACAAGCTTTACTTAATTCACCGTTTGACCCCATCTCGATAAGACATTCTCTAGAGGTTTTCTTCCCTCTTTTTTCGGGTCCTGTACGGAGTATTGCCAATACCATAGCATTTTTTTTCTCCTCGATTCATGTCATTATAACCAGTATTTGAGTTATTCCCTCTTGTTAAGTTTAATTATTAATTAATAGAAACACTTGTAATGCTAATCTTTGATGTCCGTGTAGAAATAACATTAAAATACCGAGGAAAATCCAAACCCAACTGGCACTCCTTTGAACGTATCAGACAAATAATTGTAGATTATAAGATGCCGTGACTCAAAAATCTTAACAACACGGCACCTTGGTTAATTAATTACCCTCTTGCTGCTAGCTCTAATAAAAAATCAAAATATTATTATTACACACGTTCATACTTAACTAATATAAACCTGTAAAATGTTGTCAGTGAAAAGAAAAAAAGAATGGGAAAAAAGACTGATCTAAGATGATGGTTAATTGCAGCATTTATCGAACAATTAATTTCACATCTTTCTATATATATATATATCTTACATGTTCATCGTTCCCCATGCATCTTGGATACCCTATACAACAATGCATTCTTCATTTAGTGCAAGATGCATCGAAAATATTCATTAGATGCATATATAAAAGTACAAATTGCCAACAAACTCCTTAAACTTGGTATATTAAAAGTTTTTCATCAACTTGTTATTAATTAACTAACATCATGTACCTCGCCAAGCTAATGGTTCACAAAGAAAGTTTTGTCTTTTTTGCATATTAATTCATATAACTTTTCGATGAGGTGTTCCCTAACTGCGCGTTGGTCGGTTGGAGACCACGTGTACTATTAAGGAACCACTGCTGTAGATGTCTCTGGTTGAAGTTGCAATAGTGTCTTTAATTTGTTTGTTTGGGAATGATGATTCAATCTGAAAATGATGAAATGGGAGGATTCTAATGGCTTGTTGGTATAAGGGGAGGGGAGGGAAGGGGGTAGAGGGATTTTTCTCCCTTTGGGTTGTTAAAATTTTTTGGAGGGGAGGAAAAAAAAAAGGGGGAATTTCACTGTAGGACCGCAGAAGGCAAATAATTTCAAAGAGCCCCCAAAACTTTCTGAAACCTCACTGCAGGACCAAGGGACCAATCTGATATTAATTTTTAGAGTGAGATTACAATAATACCCCTCCCTTTTTATTTTATTAAAAAATAAATATTTACCGGAGTTACTGTTCCGGCCACCGGAGGTCGGAGGTCCGGCCATCGGCGCTCAGGTGGCCGCCGTCGGGGTCCGGTCACCGGTGGCCGGAACAGTAACTCCGGCGGGACTTCTGGTGGCCGGAGTTTTTTTGTTTAAAACAAAGTGGCCAAGGGAGGGTTTGAACCCAGGACCCCTTGGCACACCAAAAGAGTTGTAACCACCAAGCTAAGCAACCCATTCAATCATAAAATGCAAATAAAACTACATATAACAAAATAAACGCAACAGTCCAAATGTAAGTGAACAAGTGAAATTAGACGATTTACAAGTGGAATTCAGAAATTTACAACAAAAGTTAGGCAATTTACAAATAACATAATATAAGTCATAACCCAAAATGCAAGTGTTTACGTGCAAATGAGCAAGTAAAATTTGAAGATTTACAATAAAAGTTTATGGATTTACAACCCAAATTTGGCAAACACAAGAGAATTCACAACCTAAAATGTAAGTGTTTGAATGTAAGTGAACAAGTGAAATTAGACGATTTACAAGTGTAATTAAGCAATTTACAACAAAAATTAGACAATTTACAAATAACATAATAGAAGTCATAACCCCAAATGTAAGTGTTTAAGTGCAAATGAGCAAGTGAAATTTGAAGATTTACAATAAAAGTTTATGGATTTACAACCCAAATTTAGCAAACACAAGAAAATTCACAACCCAAAATGTAAGTGTTTGAGTGTAAGTAAACAAGTGAAATTAGACGATTTACAAGTGTAATTCAGCAATTTACAACAAAAATTAGACAATTTACAAATAACATAATAGAAGTCATAACCTCAAATGCAAGTGTTTAAGTGCAAATGAGCAAGTGAAATTTGAAGATTTATAATAAAATTTTATGAATTTACAACCCAAATTTGGTAAACACAAGAGAATTCACAACCCAAAATGTAAGTGTTTGAGTGTAAGTGAACAAGTGAAATTAGACGATTTACAAGTGGAATTCAGAAATTTGCAACAAAAGTTAGGCAATTTACAAATAACATAATATAAGTCATAACCCAAAATGCAAGTGTTTAAGTGCAAATGAGCAAGTAAAATTTGAATATTTATAATAAAAGTTTATGGATTTACAACCCAAATTTGGTAAACACAAGAGAATTCACAACCCAAAATGTAAGTGTTTGAGTGTAAGTGAACAAGTGAAATTAGACGATTTACAAGTGGAATTTAGAAATTTACAACAAAAATTAGGCAATTTACAAATAACATAATAGAAGTCATAAACCCAAATGCAAGTGTTTAAGTGCAAATGAGCAAGTGAAATTGTCGAATTTCACTTGCAAATCTATAAACTTTTGTTGTAAATCTTCAAATTTTATTTGCTCGTTTACACTTAAACACTTGTATTTGGGATTATGAGTTCCATTATGTTATTTGTAAATTGCCTAATTTTTGTTGCAAATTTCTGAATTCCACTTGTAAATCGTCTAATTTCACTTGTTCACTTACATTTGGACTGTTGCGTTTATTTTGTTATATGTAGTTTTATTTGCATTTTATGATTGAATGGGTTGCTTGGCTTGGTGGTTACAACTCTTTTGGTGTGCCAAGGGGTCCTGGGTTCAAACCCTCCCTTGGCCACTTTGTTTTAAACAAAAAAACTCCGGCCACCGGAGGTGTCGCCGGAGTTACTATTCCAGCCACCGGTGACCGGACCCCGACGGCGGCCACCTGAGCGCCGGTAGCCGGAACAGTAACTCTGGTAAATATTTATTTTTTAATAAAATAAAAAGGGAGGGGTATTATTGTAATCTCACTCTAAAAATTAATATCAAATTGGTCCCTTGGTCCTACAGTGAAGTTTCAGAAAGTTTTGGGGGCTCTTTGATATTAATTGTCTTCTGCGGTCCTACAGTGAAATTTTCCCAAAAAAAAATCCCCCCCCTCCCCTCATAACCCTCTCCTTTTAAATTGGGATTATTTGGAGAAAAAATATAATATTTTAAATTTCTTTGACTAATATATTTATAACTAGTTTTAAATATGCTTATATTATGCTTATGATATTACATTATGTGTGTAAAGAATGGTAACTATTACACTTTTATCAAATCATAAAAAATATCTCTCCCCTTCATTTTCTACTCATCAATCCAAATAAGATAATATTAAAATCTATCCCCTCCACTCTTTTTTTTGAGCCAAACACACCCTTAGAATTACAAGTGAAAAGTTCAAAATGTCGCTTTTATATGTATTTCACATGCTTCTTGTAGTAGCTCGCTTATCTTAAACCCCTTTCAAATTTATTAATTACAACATCAATTTGTGAAGCCAATATGATCGGCCACCATTAATCTGTAATGAATAGAATCTAATAAATGAGCCACAATGTTAACAAGTAGTCACGAACTATTGATAAGGATTATTAGAGTTTTATGCATAGAATCTAATAGTGTAATGAATTGATGTTTAATGTACATATATACATATAAA